TATGGAGATGTTGGAAAGGTTGCTCGATTTCGGTAACCTGATAGGGATACTATTGTAGGATTAATCTCCCCTTATACTACCAATCGACTCGCCTAAAAATAAATACTTTGGTGCATATATATCTATGCCCAGGTGAACCCTATTCTGTGTGCTTGCGCAACTCTCCGTATCCAGCGCACATTCCATTGATTTCTAAATCCAGTGTTTGCATGTTTTCCTAGAGTTACTGCCCTTTGTTTTCACTCTGTCAGTACTGATGGTATAGCGATAAGCTTGACAGCCGATTGGGCCGAGAACAAGTCCGTGCTTACAATGAATGTAACTCACGGAGGGTCATCTTAGATTTTCAGTTTGTCGTGTGTTAAACATGGAATGGATCTTTCTAAAAACCTAATATGTGGGTTCTTCTTGTTACCGAATAGTTTCTACTTGGTTTGAAACGGTTTTTGAAAAAAATGATACGCCCAACAAGCAGCCATCTTGGATTTTGACGATCGAATTTACTATTACCGATTAATTCGAGCCCGGGAAGCACTTCATAGATCTCTCTGAAATTTAATGTGTCTTGTTTCATTGGTCCTTGTGTTATAGACAAACAAAAACAATCTGGCAGAAGGATGAACGTTCATCTTGTATCACGGACAATTAATGTTTGTTCTCGCTTTTTCTTGGAAAGTACTTGCGAGGACGTCATATCTTCATCAGTAGGGCCTCTTATGCTAATTCTTTTTAACACTGAGCAGAGAGCCATGCTGGATTTAGATGCTCAAAGTTTGCCATCTGTATCTCTGGGGAAAAAAAACTGACGGCCATCTTGAATTTTCACAGTTTCACAGTTTGTTATCGCTGATTGGTTGGTTAGTTGGTTGGTTGACAGGATAATCCGTGTCCGGGTATCGTCTTACTGACGTCAGTGTCCTGGCGACGTGAGGGGGCGACCTGCACCCTCTCATTGATGATGCTGTTTCATGTGAAGCAATGGATGGGTCGTTCTCAAATAAAATATAATGTCTATTTCATTTTCCATATCAGAGCTGATCGATAAAACAGGTATCGTGGATTTAGATTGTGATAGAAATTAATCGCTATTCCAGATTTTTTTTTTAGAGTTTATCGAATTTCATGTGTAGGTTCTTCTCAGGCTCTAAAATTACTCTGAAGACTTCATAAGATTGTTTATGATGTAGTAATTCGGTAATTTATGAAAGTCAAGTTCATAAACAAGGAAGTTGATGCTGGAAACAATAGTAATATTTACACCAGAAATCTATAGAAGCCGACATCTCACCAGAAGTCTACGGAAGCCGACATCTCACCAGAAGTCTACGGAAGCCGACATCTCACCAGAAGTCTACGGAAGCTGAAATCTCACCAGAAGTCTACGAAAGCCGACATCTCACCAGAAGTCTACGGAAGCCGACATCTCACCAGAAGTCTACGGAAGCCGACATCTCACCAGAAGTCTACGGAAGCCGACATCTCACCAGAAGTCTACGGAAACCGACATCTCACCAAATGTCTACGGAAGCCGACATCTCACCAGAAGTCTACGGAAACCGACATCTCACCAAATGTCTACGGAAGCCGACATCTCACCAGAAGTCTACGGAAACCGACATCTCACCAGAAGTCTACGGAAGCCGACATCTCACCAGAAGTCTACGGAAGCCGACATCTCACCAGAAGTCTACGGAAGCCGACATCTCACCAGAAGTCTACGGAAACCGACATCTCACCAAATGTCTACGGAAGCTGAAATCTCACCAGATGTCTATGGAAGCTGACATCTCACCAGGTGCCTATGGAAGCCGACATCTCACCAGAAGTCTACGGAAGCCGAAATCTCACCAGAAGTTTACGAAAGCCGACATCTCACCAGAAGTCTACGGAAGCCGACATCTCACCAGAAGTCTACGGAAGCCGACATCTCACCAGAAGTCTACGGAAGCCGACATCTCACCAGAAGTCTACGGAGGCCGACATCTCACCAGAAGTCTACGGAAGCCGACATATCACCAGAAGTCTACGGAAGCCGACATCTCACCAGAAGTCTACGGAAGCCGACATCTCACCAGTAGTCTACGGAAGCCGACATCTCACCAGAAGTCTACGGAAGCCGACATCTCACCAGAAGTCTACGGAAGCCGACATCTCACCAGAAGTCTACGGAAGCCGACATCTCACCAGAAGTCTACGGAAGCCGACATCTCACCAGAAGTCTACGGAAGCCGACATGTCACCAGAAGTCTACGGAAGCCGACATCTCACCAGGTGTCTACGGAAGCCGACATCTCACCAGGTGTCTATGGAAGCCGACATCTCGTCAATATTTCCTCATGCGATATGAAGTTGTAAGTTTTTAATACTCAACAGTATACCTTTTGGATCAAGTGTTATTTGACGTATTCTCTTTTGGGGTCGTGACATTAATTTCTTTGATGGACCAAGATTTATATAAAACGAAGACGCTTACCCTTCCGGAAAACCTGGTCACTCTCCCCTTTCACTCTAAAGGGGTCCCCGTATCGCTTTTTTAATAGATATAATTTGACTCGTTTGAAAAAAAAACAGTTCTCATAAAGATCTGCTGTGTTGGTATTCTGTTCTGTAAAGAATGTTGCAGTTTTCGGATCAGTCCTGTCTTTGTTATCTTTATAGATATACGCAAGAAAGACATTGAAAATAAGATTAATAGAAGCAATCGTTCGTTTCATGACAGCCATAAAAATACATCTCTTTTGCTAAAAACATTTAGTAAAAAAAGTTTGATCAGTCTAAAATATCCAGTTGTCTGTACGAGTCACTGAGTCTACGGTTTTGCTATTGGGTTTATCGCACCTTGAAACAGCCAGTGTTATTTTTAGGCATGGTCTTCTTATGATAATTAATGTATTCCTCAACGAAAGACGTACGGAAGGTCCGTCGCATGCCATCAAACGCTATTAGGGCGCCTTGTTAAAGGGCACAACCATGTCAGCACAGACTAGTCTGTTATCCAGTTTCTTTTGAAACACATTCCGGTTTTGGGTAGAGAGCATCGAACCATGCACCTCCGACCTTCACCTTGGTTTACGTAGGTCAGTACTGTAACTGAGCTATCGCGCTCTCCGGTTCTCTCTTGTTAGATTTCCCGTGATAGTTGATGGATATTGATAATCAACACAGCTTTATAGTTGTAAGATTTAATAAAACAAACAAGAAAAGTTGTCGGCCGTTCAGTCCCTTGACATGACTTTGTTGATGGTTTGTCGCCATCTTTTTTCAGTTTCGGGAGGAGTGACGTCACAACTGATACATGATTTCATTAAGAAATGATAAGTTAGAGCGCTATTCTAGTAAGGTTGATGTAAAAAGTTTTGATTGATTTTAAAAATATAAACAATGTAAAAATAAAATTGTAAAGATAAAGAGTATAGGGCGAACGCAAACGGTATATATTATATACGTGTGAAGCGACCTCAATCACGAACAAGACCAGAATTAATATTGGTCAGACTCAGCTCCCATGCGCAGAGACACTACAACTACAATGCGCATGTCTTCAGCCGACCTGATTCACTTAAGCTCTTTGCATGCATACTGGTCCCAATTGTTTCGTTATTTATCCGTACATCTGACTGCATCAGATTGAAATATTGAAAATAATATTTTCGCGTGACTCAATTTTTCGTAATATCGTTAAAAAGCGTGCCCACTTATTTTCGTGGATAAATACAGTTCAATAAATCTACGTAATATGCTCATTTTAAAAAATCTTGGACATTAATTCGTAGATTTAAAGTACCCACCAAGTTAATGAAAATAAATCCCCACGAAAATTAATGACTTTACAGTATCTGAGCTTAGTTGAATAATTATTTCATATGATTTGACTGTTTCGGTAAGCACCGAGCGTCATTATTTTGATCAGAATTACGCTTGTTTTGATTGTATAAAATGATAAATGTATGTGCAACTTCAGTTCAATACTTGAGAACCAAATCCTGTGCCCGACCTACAGGAAAGATACACTTATAGGTAGAATCCGTAACCATGACAGCAAGAACAGGAGGATGTGCCAGCTATATTTAGAACTACAAGTGCATTTTTAAAAGTCAACAGCGCCAAAAACTTTCGATAACCGTCAACAAAATGTTTAAGGCCACACCAATATCTGATATAAAATTAAGAATAAAAAAATTATACGTAGATTAAGGCGCATTAACAAATATTAAATGAAAATCAATGTTCTTCCCTGGCTACGATTTTTGAGTCACTGTAGTTCAGAGAAGCACGTGTGGTCGAAATTGCATCCCTTAATTCGAACTGGATGCTACTCTTACGAACTGCCTCGTTGGTTTTGACGTCATTTTCACTAAATGTACATGTCAACATTATGAATAACGGACTGGATGTCCCCTCCGCATTATAAATACTGTAATAGATGTCTCATCCGTGTCACAAGTAACGGACTGGATGTCCCCTCCGTATTATAAATACTGCAATAGATGTCTCCTCCGTATCATATATAACGGACTGAATGTATCCTCCGTATCACAAATAACGGACTGGATGTCCCCTCTGTATTATAAATAACAGACTGAATGTCTCCTCCGTATTACAAGTAACGGACTTAATGTCCCCTTATTTATAATTGTAAATTAATTATAAATATTATATTGGATGTCTACTCCGTATTGTAAATACCGTGTTGAGTGTCCTTTAAGATCCTTGCTTTAAGCACGGATTGTGAACTAAGTCTATTTTTGTCTGTATGTGTGAACGCATAACACTGAATTTAACGTGTACCACCAAAATGGATACCCTTTTTTGCCAGTACCAGTAAAGTTGACGTGTGTTTTGCACTTTTTGTCGGATTTTTTTACTAAATCTGATTGCAGGTCCAATCCAGCCGCACTCCGTCATCCAGCCAGTGTGTATAACGAGCGGTCAGACTAAAACCAACGGTCCAAATCTCGTGCACGTTGGATCTGTTTTTAAAGACACGTTGCCTACACTGTTTAGTCGTCTGATTTGATTTGGTTGTTTTTCTTGCCTCCTGGGCCGTCGTCGTCTGTCTGTGCCTCCCCTGTCTGAAGCATGTCTGGTGGTTCCCGCGCCTTGTACGCAGACTGCTTGTCAGCGTTGACATTGCAGTGTTGTTTGAGGCTGTCTAACCGTTTAGGTAAATCTTTCAGCTTATTATCAGATATATCTAATTCGGAAAGTACAGGCAACTTGCAGACTGAGTCTGGAATGGACTCCAGCAGATTATCGGAGAGGTCAAGGATTTCCAGATTTGCCATCTTGCCTACGTCATTAGGAATACTTGTGAGGTCATTATTGGCGGCTCTCAATATCCGGATCCGGTACAAATAGGGCAGATCGCCTGGCACCATGTTGATGTGATTCTTATTGACATTTAGCTCAGTCATTGAAGCGAGAACATCCCAGCGATCCTCCGGCAGTCCCATCAGCTCGTTGTTGGACAGGTCCAGATAGATGAGTTTATGTAACTCTCCAAAGTCTTCTGGTAGACTGACTATATTGTTATAACATATATTGAGAAACTCCAGTTGATGAAGTCTTGTCATGCCATCTGAAAATTCTCCTACCTTGTTTTGAGACACGTCCAAACGCTTTAGATTCTGCAAATTCTTTATGGTGTCTGGTACTTCAGATATTTCATTATTACATAGATCAAACTCTTCGAGGCAACGCAGACGACACAAGAACTCGGGAATCGCCTTGATGAGATTGTGGGCTAGCTTGAGGGTCCGAAGCAACTTCATGTGACCAATACTTGGAGGAACTTCCTCGAGTTTAATACTGGACAGGTCCAGGAAGGTGATCTGTTTGGCGTATGTTCTCTCACCAAGCTGTACGAGTACTGATTTGGGATCCTGAGCTGGTAAAAACACAGGGTTTTGCGATATATTAAGATGTGTAATAGCTTTTGGCAGTTGTATTTCCGTAAGAGAGTTTCCACTGACATCCAGCGTTCGGAGAAATTTAAGAACGTCCAACGTCTTTGGTAAAGCTGAAATCTGGTTATTTCCTATTTTCAAACTTTCCAGGCTCCGTAGCTTTTTGAGGTCCTGTGGAAGTCCTTGAATCCGATTCCGGCTGAGGTCCACATCCCTGAGGAGCTGGTTGTCACCAAGGGATTCCGGAATAGCGCTTATCTTGTTATCTGCGGCCGCCAGGTCCTTTAATGACGTCACGCGGCATATATTCTCCGGCAAGACCTTGAGATGGTTACCAGACACGTCCAATGAAACAAGGCATTTCATGGTAGGCAGATCTTCGGGAAGTGTAGTAATAGCATTGCGGGCAATCTTCACCGTCTCGGCCGCTTTCAGTTTAGTTATACCTACAGCAGTCGAAAGTTTGTTGCCGGATAAATCTACAGTTTTAAGACCCTTGAGGTCGTAAAACTTAGGTGGTAAGTTCTCTATTTGATTGTCTGCCACCTCAAGAATCGTCAGCCTTTGTAGTTTATGAATGTCCTCGGGAAGGGCTCGGATCTGGTTCTGGGACGCCTTGAGTGTCGTCAGAGCATATTGCAAGCTTACCATCTCTTCTGGTAAAGACACAATCTTGTTGTAGGAAATGTCTAAAAAGCTGAGATATTTAAGGAATCCCAGCTCGCGAGGAATATCTGCCAGCTCATTATGTGACAAATCAAGCCACGTCAGAGTGGTGACCATGTGTATATTGTCCGGAATCATGGAAATCTGGTTGTATGACACGTCGAGGGACTTAAGAGCCGGAGCCTTGACACTAGCATCAGGGAGATCCACGAGTTTGTTCTGTTTGAGTATAATGTGAGCACCCAGCTCATACACAGTCTTCTTGATGGATCGGATGACGTTGTAGGAGACATCTAGATGTGTCAATGCGGGGCACTTGTTAATGGTCTTCGGAAGTGCTTTGATCTTATTGTTGGACGCGTGGAGCGTGTGCATGGACTGTGCTTTATTGATAGTAGCAGGGAGACTTTTTACAGCATTGTTGGTCAAATCTAGAATCTCTAATGTTTTGATTTTGAAGATGGTACCGGGAACGGCGGTAAGTGCGTTATTGCGCAAGTCAATAAATGTTAATACTTCCAGGTCACAGATGGTCTTTGGAAGTTTCTTAAGACGGTTATTTTCTGCAAGAAATTTTGTGGCGTTGAGCATAATTTCCTCGCATTTCCATATTTCGATAGGCAGTTGTTTTAGACTGTTTGTTGAAAAGTCGACGATTACGGCCTTGCCCTCACGAGGGAAATGTTTTCGCAAAGGAGGTGCCAGGGCGATGATTTTACTCCCCGGGCCCGCGAGGGGGATAACCTCCCCTTCCTTACTCATGGTTGCGCTGCTGTTAGGATCACTTCATCAATGGTTTCCTGTGAAACAGATACAATATATTGGTCAGTGAATATTGTACAAACAAACTTAAAAACAACTGTAATCAATTGACATGTCGTATGGTACATTTTCATTTTCGTGTTGAAGACAATTTAGAAAAAAAATAAGGAGATACGGATTATAAGAGTCTTTTTCTCTCATATCTTTACCAAAATTTTGGGAAAAGGACTGTCGGTCGGCCAATATCTTCATTTTTTTCATTTTTTTAATCCGAGGTGTTTTTTTTTATAAAAAACGAACTGGATATTCTTAACGATCATACCCATATTTTGAAAACTTACAGTTTGCCGTCAAATTTCAAACCATTTTTCGGTATATTGCAGGATGAATATATTATTCGCAGATGAAAAAAAAGCAAAAATGATCTCTGTGTGATTATATAGTATGTGTAAGTAAACATCCGCGAAAAGAAATTGTTCCGTCAAATGCTTCAAAGAAATCAACAAGGAACGGATTTTTATAATTCAACATATAGTTTTATCATCAAAATCACATATTTGATCATTTTAAGAAATATATCAATGTATATTTTTACTGTTTTAACATTTTTTCAAAATACTGTGACGCTGACATGACGTCACCATAGTCAAAGGAATTCCATTCATAAATTCAAAGCGTGACGTCACACGATCTCCTATTCCGAGTCGCTGTCGCTCTCGATCACCATGATTCGACGACGTTTGGGTGGTGGAATATTTGTGATATTTACGGTGATTTGGCAATTTTCAATGTGAGAACCAGCAAACAAGGATTCGATTCGAGTTTCAGATTGTTTCTGTGATACAGGATTTTAGGTGTTAACCGTGTTTTCTTGTTGTGATGACGATGGTAAACACACTGTGACATCAGATGTAGGCCTAGTAACTGTTGAAGTTGATTAAATGGTGGCAGAGGATGGTGTTCGGTTTGATGGAATTAATTCAGAGCTTTTTGTGTTTGACAACATATTGGAAATCATGTACTTCTGTCTGTCATTCAGTGTCCTGTAATTATTCAGCGACTGTGTGTTTTATGACCCGTGACATAAACCTGCAAGGTATCGGGTACATGGTTGTCGGTCATTTTTTGTACAAGGGATTTTCGGATGCTGTAAAAGTTGTCTCCCCTGAACACAGATTACTCCGCGAACGTGTTTGCCCATGTAAGATAGAAATTTCTTACATAGCTATCTTACATGGCGGGATATGAGAGAAAATTGGTTAATGTTTTTACTGACAATGGTTAACTCATCCTCAATACTCCAAGGATTACAATCACTGTCGCTCTCTGTGCCCCTGGAATAGGTCACGGCAGAATTACAGATTCATGTGCGTCATCTTGTGGACAAACCAGTTTGATCCTTTTTGCTAGCCGGTGATTGGTCAGTTGTTTTCCTGGAACCAATCAAATTGCTACACTCGTGCCTTCAATTTTGACATGACATGTTCCAGGAGTGCAGAGAGCGAAAATGATCGTAACCTCTGGAGTATCGAGGACGTCAGTTATAATTATAGCTAACCTTAGTTATAATAAAAAGTTACCATAGTTACTATCAATCGTTACCATAGTAACTATCAATCGTTACCATAGTTACTATCAAAAGTTACTGTAGTTACTATCAATGATTTATGATATTTCTATCCATTATCTAGCTTTATAAATATTAGCTGTGACGCATTTTGTGTTCTTAGCGATATTAATACAAGCAATGTACATTAGCCGAGACAAAGAGATAGAAATTGATTTCTGTACATGACTTGGTATTAAAACAATATTTGATGAATAAAATGACATTTTAAAAATATTTTATCTCTGCTGAACCGATTCTCTTTGTGGCTAGTATTTTCCAAGCTATGCCAACGTTTCCAGATCAATACAGCTATGCCTCTATTGAACTCTGTAACACTCGTTGAATGCGGATGAACGCGGAACATGAATGCAGTTGGGATCTATCGCCGTGCCAACGATCTAGCTACGCGTTCCCTTTCTGTTCCCTTTCCGATACTTTCTACTGGTAGATAGGTCACACTTCCGGTGTGTGTTTAATTAATGGAACCAGCTGCAGGTAGGAGCGAAAATTCAATAAAAATCATCAATAAAGTAACACTTGTTGTATACAAATCCCAATACCAACCACCGACACTAAACCTTCGAGTTTCGCGGGGGGAAAAGTTGATAAAACAAGAAAAAGTGCCTTAGAATCATCTCAATCCTTCTTTCCTTCTTAAAAATTTAAATTTGGCCCTTTCACGTATCAATTTACCGATGAGAAGGGGAGATAAAAAGTGAAAAGTAGGAAGGATGAGGAAAATATGAGATATGATTACCTTGAAAACACATAGGCATCAGTATCTGCCAGAATGTAGTCTCCCAAAGTGTCGAAGTAAAACTTATCTTGTTAACGTGAAATATTTAACAAAACAGCCAGACAAACATAAACAGGTAACGCTACGAAATGGACAGAATTATACACCTGGTGACAGTAGGATTACCTTATCATGTTCACCTGGTGACAGTAGGATTACCTTATCATGATACACCTGGTGACAGTGTGGGATATCATATCATGATACACCTGGTGACAGTAGGATTACCTTACCATGATACACCTGGTGACAGTAGGGATACCGTATCATGTTCACCTGGTGACAGTAGGGATACCGTATCATGTTCACCTGGTGACAGTAGGATTACCTTATCATGATACACCTGGTGACAGTGTGGGATATCATATCATGATACACCTGGTGACAGTAGTATTACCTTACCATGATACACCTGGTGACAGTAGGGATACCGTATCATGTTCACCTGGTGACAGTAGGATTACCTTATCATGTTAACCTGGTGACAGTGTGGGATATCATATCATGATACAACTGGTGACAGTAGTATTACCTTACCATGATACACCTGGTGACAGTAAGGATACCTTATCATAATACACCTGGTGACAGTAGGATTGCCTTATCATGATACACCTGGTGACAGTAGGATTACCTTATCATGATACACCTGGTGACAGTAGGATTACCTTATCATGATACACCTGGTGACAGTAGGATTACCTTATCATGATACACCTGGTGACAGTAGGGATACCTTACCATGATACACCTGGTGACAGTAGGATTACCTTATCATGATACACCTGGTGACAGTAGGATTACCTTACCATGATACACCTGGTGACAGTAGGGATACCATGATACACCTGGTGACAGTGATACCTTAGGACATGATACACCTGGTGAAAGTAGGATTACTGACAGTAGGATTACCTTATCATGATACACCTGGTGACAGTAGGATTACCTTACCATGATACACCTGGTGACAGTAAAGATACCTATCATGATACACCTGGTGACAGTAGGATTGCCTTATCATGATACACCTGGTGACAGTAGGATTACCTTATCCTGATACACCTGGTGACAGTGTGGGATATCATATCATGATACAACTGGTGACAGTAGGATTACCTTATCATGATTCACCTGGTGACAGTAAGATTGCTTTATCATGATACACCTGGTGACAGTAGGATTACCTTATCATGATACACCTGGTGACATTAAGGATACCTATCATGATACACCTGGTGACAGTAAGGATACCTTATCATAATACACCTGGTGAAAGTAGGATTACCTTATCATGATACACCTGGTGACAGTAGGGATACCGTATCATGATACACTTGGTGACAGTAGGATTACCTTATCATGATACACCTGGTGACAGTAGGGATACCTTATCATAATGCACCTGGTGACAGTGTGGGACCTTATATTGATACACCTGGTGACAGTGTGGGATACCTTATATTGATACACCTGGTGACAGTAGGATTACCTTATCATGATACACCTGGTGACAGTAGGGATACCTTACCATGATACACCTGGTGACAGTGGGTGATACCTTACCATGATGCACCTGGTGACAGTAGGATTACCTTATCATGATACACCTGGTGAAAGTAGGATTACCTTACCATGATACACCTGGTGACAGTAGGGATACCGTATCATGATACACCTGGTGAAAGTAGGATTACCTTACCATGATACACCTGGTGACAGTAGGATTACCTTATCATGATACACCTGGTGACAGTAGGATTACCTTATCATGATACACCTGGTGACAGTGGGTGATACTTTACCATGATACACTTGGTGACAGTAGGATTACCTTATCATGATACACCTGTTGACAGTAAGGATACCTATCATGATACACCTGGTGACAGTAGGATTACCTTATCATGATACACCTGGTGACAGTAGGATTACCTTATCATGATACACCTGGTGACAGTAGGGACAGTAGGGATATTTTACCATGATACACCTGGTGACAGTGGGTGATACCTTATCATGATACACCTGGTGACAGTAGGGATACCTTACCATGATACACCTGGTGACAGTAGGATTACCTTATCATGATACACCTGGTGACAGTAGGATTACCTTATCATGATACACCTGGTGACAGTAGGGATATTTTACCATGATACACCTGGTGACAGTGGGTGATACCTTATCATGATACACCTGGTGATAGTAGGATTACCTTATCATGATACACCGTATGACAGTAGGGATACCTTACCATGATGCACCTGGTGACAGTAGGATTACCTTATCATGATACACCTGGTGATAGTAGGATTACCTTATCATGATACACCTGGTGACAGTAGGATTGCCTTATCATGATACACCTGGTGACAGTAGGATTACCTTATCATGATACACCTGGTGACAGTAAGGATACCGTATCATAATACACCTGGTGACAGTGTGGGATACCTTATCGTGATACACCTGGTGACAGTAAGATTACCTTATCATAATACACCTGGTGACAGTAAGATTACCTTATCATGATACACCTGGTGACAGTAGGGATACCTTATCATGATACACCTGGTGACAGTGGGTGATACC